TTTGTTTGTTTGTTTGTTTGTTTGCATGAAATATCCATCTTTCCCTACAGATTCTTCTTGGCCTATTCCAATAAAGTTCATACCACAGGAATACTGAGGGTTTTGGGTTTTTTGTTTGTTTGTTTGTTTGTTTGCATGAAATATCCATCTTTCCCTACAGATTCTTCCTGGCCTATTCCGATAAAGTTCATACCATAGGAATACTGAGGGTTTTGGGTTTTTTGTTTGTTTGTTTGTTTGTTTACATGATTTTTTTAGCCGTGCCCTTACCAATGGTCTCTGAGCAGCGTACAACAATATTAAAACTTTAGAAAAACATTGTGTTGCAGATTCCAGTTGTTTACATCATAATTTGAGCAAACAAAGCTGCTTTTTAAAATCTGATTTCTCTTTTCATAGAGGCATTTCTGGGGCAAATTTATATTTAATGTATGTTACTTATTAACTAAATTTATATCCTGTCTTTCCTCCATTGAGCTCAAAGCAGGACACATGGCCCTTCTTCCCCGTCTTTATAGTCACAATCTTGTGAGATAAATCTGAGATAGTGTGATTGACCCAAAGCATTGCATGGCCAAGTGGGGATTTGAACTCAGGTTTCTCGAGATGTGGTCCAGCACTCTAACCACTATGCTCTATTGGCTTAGCAAAAGAAGTGCTAAGCCCACAGAGTGTGCACAGACTGCACACAAAGAAGATTCATTAATACTTCAAGTTTTTTTTACAAAATGGAGTATCTAGTGGTGTAAAACACACACAAAAAAAGAGTCCACCCCACCCCCAATCACAGTTATTTTATTTTGTTCATTGTGAGGAAATTTAAAACTTTCCTACACAAATTCTTTCTCTATCCTCAACAGAATTGAGAAATACTTTTATTAAATACAGAACACCTTGCATTAAAATGGTTCCCCAGTTGCAATGCCAGATGCTTCATGACTTTGCAGGTAGGGACAGAAAGTCTAATCTGTCAAATGCCCTGGTCCACCAGACATTTCCAGTATGGAGAAGAACTGCTGTTTCATCAGTGCTGCATTGCTAGTCAAGTCACATTGCTGGTTAACTGTTACCCTGGACTTTCAGGTATGCCCGTAGCACACAAACACTGGTAAATTCAACCAACCTCATAATGCTTTAGGTGCAGCACTAATAGTGAAATGTGTGTCCCTTGTCCAAGGAGCAGGTTAGTATGATGTGGAGAACTCATTACCATCAGCTTAGCCATTGCTTGTTAAATTGGCCACAGCAACTATGGAGGTGATGATGGTGTGAAACAGGTGTGATCTACATATGTTGAAGGATTCTATACATCAGGGATATCACATAACTTGTGATCAAAACAGATGAGGATCATTTAGTAGAGAAACACAATGAGCATGCTGTCTCTTTGTTGCTATTCCCATTGTTGCTCATGAGTGGGAGTGGGTTTCCAGTTGCCTTTTCTTCATGTGTAGGCTCCCCATGCAATATAGTACCTGGAGAAAATTCCACATTGTTTGGAGAGTCTGCATGCATGGAGTAGGCATCCTTCAGTCTTGAGAGACTATGGTAACATACTCTGAATAGAGGTCTTGGAATAGCATCTAGTGTGGCTGAGAAGGCCAATTCGAGAGTGACAATCCCACAAACAAATACAATCCGTCACCTGTCCAGCTCCCTGATTTTGCTGGTTTCGGGACGGCCTCTTTGCCTCAGCCTGCTGGACAAGTGCCTCTTCAAAATGGGAGAGGCCGTGATGCAACGCCTGCCTCCAGGCTGAACGCTCAGATGTCCAAGTTTCCCATCTGTTGAGGTCCATTCCTAAGGCCTTCAGCTTCTGCTTGCAGATATCCTTGTATCTCAGCTATGATCTCCCTCTGAGGCACTTTCCCTGCACTAATTCTCCACACAGGAGATCTTTTGGAATCCAACCATCAGCCATTCTTACAACATGTCCAAGCTAATGTAGACATTGCTGTTTCATTAATGTATACATGCCAGTTCATTCTAGGGCTACTCTGTTTGGAACTTTGTCCTGCCAGGTGATACCAAAAATGGTTTGGAGACAATGCATATGGAATAGGTTGTGTGTTCCATATGAATGGAACACACACCCTATTGCATTAGTCTCTAGTTTCTGGAAATTAAGATTAGTGATAAAAGGGGTAGGATTATTCATAGTTCCCACTTCCCTCGTGACATGTTATGTGCTGTTGAGTTGCTTCACACTTAGGGTGACTCTATGAATCGGTGATGTCCAAAAAGTCTTGCCCCAAAGCCCTGCTCAGGTCTTACAAACTAAAGACTATGGATTCTTTACCAAAGCAATACATCTCAATTTGTACATTTCTCCCTGTTGCTTTCCACCTTTCTTGGCGCTGTTACCTTCTCCAATGGGGTTTCCTCTCATGATCTGGCCAGTGTACAAAAATCAAGTAGAGCTGTTTTACCTCTGAATGACAGTTCAGGTTTGATCTGCTTTAGGACCACTTATTTTGTCCTTTCGGTGGTCAGTGAATCAAAATGGTTCATTTCCCTCTGTCTGCTTTCTCCATTGACCAGTTTTCACAAGCCTTCATACAATAACATGGATACTCTTGGCCTTAGTCTCTAGTGATCTATCCTCACACTTAAGGATCTTTTCTAGTTCCTTCATAGCTCCAAATCTCAGTCTTCTGATGTCTTGGTTGCAGTGTCCATTTTGATTGACTGATGAAACCATGTACAGTAAATCTATAACAATTTCAGTTCCTCCATTGCCAACATAAAAGTTACATCATTTTTCTGTAGTCATTATTTTTGTCTCCTAAATGTTCAGCTGTAATCATGCTTTAGCATTTTGTTCTTTCACCTTCATCAGCAGTTTGATATCATTGTTGTGCTCTGACAGTAATGCAGTATAATTTGTATGTCGTACATTACTGCTGCTTCTCCCACTATTTTTCCTCTACTCCTCCATCAGAATCTAAATTACTAGTACAGCCTCATAAAACAGCTTAAACAGTTCTCAGCTACATGACCAGTTGGGCTTCTACTGTTAATTGTTTCTGGGTGACCATTTGTGAAGAATAAAGAGGCAAACATTGCAAACAGCTTTGTGTATATTTAATTAATATATATATTAATTAATTAAAAAGCGTTGAGTTTTAAAAGCAACAAGAGTAGATTAGAGCAGGGAACAAGGATGAGGAGGGAACAGCCCTGCCTGAAAAATATGTGCAAAGCATCTGTGAACAATGTATTGATACCATGGACTGGAATCCTAATAAGTTATTGCAAAATACATTATGTACTGCACCGAGTGGTCTAATGCCTTCCTATTGGATGAGAAGTTGTACAGAAAACTTTGTATTGCTGGCATGTGGAATTAACTGGCAATTTCATCTGAAGAAGAGAAGCAGTTGTTTTAATGTTAAAACCTCCAAGTTAATTTTTTAAAAACATTCATTCCTAAAGGTCTTTCATATTCCTTTCTGGGCTGTCTACAAAGTTTCCCCCAGACAAATAACGGATACACTGCTAAGCCTTTTCCATAACTGTAACAGTTTTAGAACTCTTCCATTTG